CTATGCGAAGTGATATGGAACTGTAATGCGGTCAAGAGAGCTGCCTGGAACTACATTCGCCGTGCGTTTCCCTGAAGATAATTGCACACCTCAGAACGTTTGTCAGCCAATCAGATTCAAGCATTCAACAGCCCCATAGTATATGCCATATTATGGCATTTATGAGCACATTTCTGCATTGGAATGTGCCAACAGAAGGTCGCCTTTTAATAGAGAAATATTTATGATATTTTCCCCCTTACATTAGTTCCTGCATGCTGTTTTATGAATAACCAACAATGTATTCTGTCAAGAATCTCATTCTTTTTTGATTAAAAAGTCATCAGCTGTATTTTCATTCTGTTTCAAAAACAGGCAGAAACCACTGCAGGCCTCATTTGCGTTGCCATTTTTAAGGTAAATGATATTTTAATGACTTAATTATGTTTAGTAACAAGAGTAATGCCATTCTGTATTCAGTCAGTGACTAACCCCAATCTGTTTGCACAGAAAAGTGGCACTTTTTTCTTTGTAAGCACTACATTTTTGTTTAGAGTTGATGTGTGTTGATTTATTGTTTAAATGTAATTTACACAGTGCTTGTGTGTGTGTGTGTGTGTGTGTGTGTGTGAGTGAATGTAAGTGTTAGTATGGACATGTGTATGTGAGAGGAGGTGAAAGAGAGAGTGAGAGAAGGAGTGGGTGAATGTGTGTATATGCATGTGCATGACGTGTTCTCATCTAAAATCTAGTGTAACTGAGACAATCGCTGTCTTTAATGTCACTGGGAAAAAATGGTTGATCAACCTCCTTGATTTCTGTTACAGAGGCATAAATGGTCCACTCGCCTTATCACAGAACTGCTGCAGTCTGCTCAAATAGCGTGCAGTCACTCTCAAGTCTGTCATCTAATGGCCTCAACTGTGTAAAATGCAACACAGGGAAGGTCAATTTCAAATGGCAGGCATGAAGAGCAGGGGCAAAGCTGTAGACAATGCTGATTCGGGTTTGTATAATCTACCCACTGCGCTCAAAATTGCATTGAGTGTATCGCTGGTGTGACAAAGTTGCTTTCTGCTGAGTACGTGGTCAAAATTTTGTCCAAATGAACTTTGAGTTTCATTAGAATACGGCATCTAGATGAAAATATTAGGAGAAAATGGGGATGTAAACAAATGTACATCACAATCACTACAGTGAAAAAATTGGTAACCAATAGTTGTCAATGCAAACTATTGTATCGACTTCCAACTAAAATGGCATTGAGTGTATTGCTAGCAGTGTGACAAAATTTCTATGTGCTGAGTAAGGTCAAAATGGTCTAAATGAACATTGAAGTCCATTAGAATACTGCAGTTAGATGAAAATATTAAGAGAAAAAATAGGGACTTAAACGTACATCACAATTACTACTCTGTAAAAAGTGATAATAGTTACCTTAAAGAGCTGCTTCTACCTGATTTAACCCATAAACATAGTTTTGCTGGTGTGAATTCATGTATTTATCTGGATTCAGTGATATTAAATAATATTATGGATTCAAATAAAACCAGTTAATTTAGATGCTACCATTTTTTAGTGTATTAAATAAATCCTGCATTAATTTCTTAAGCTAAACGTGTATACCTTACAATGTGTGTGATTGAATACAGACCCAGTTTAATGAAATGGCATGCTTCGGTTATAGTCCCAGAACCAGGTTCAGCAGACTCCTGTATTTCTCAGTGTTATAGCTAAGAAAACAGGAGTTACCTCCTTATCTTCCCGTTTCACTCTCTTTTTTTCCGCAGTCTGAGCTAGAGAGGCTTAATAATATCCCAAAGGCACGGATGAAACGCTCTCTCTCCACAGTGTCTGTTTACCAAAGAGAGTGTTTGAAGTTGAGCTCAAGATGTCTTAATTTCTCCACCAGAGGAATTGAGGGAAAGGAAAGAAATCAGCCAGTGTTTCCTAGATGTGCTGTAAATACTGCTCAACCAGAGGATGTTGTGGTTGGAAGCATCTTTGTTTGTACACATCAGAGAAAGCATTGGAGGAACTAGCATCTCACGGCAGGATGGTTTAGCATTAGCGTCATATCAGTCTGAGTCTCCCACAGCTGTATTAGTCTGGCCATCATCATTAATTCATTGCAAATTTCACTCTCTCAGGGCCTCCATTCAAACATTTCCTTCATTTTAAATCTGAATACAAAGGTCAAATGTCAGATTTGCTCAACTTTTTGATAAAGTGACATTGCACATAAAATAACTTAATGGAGAAAGACATAGAGCTGAAAAGTAATGAGTATGCATTAAATGTAACATTTTTAAAATGAAAAAATTAGGACATTTAAAGGGGGTCATATGATGCCCATTTTCCACAAGTTGATATTATTCTTTAGGGTCTTAATGAAAAGTCTGTAACATAGTTTGGTTAAAATTTCTCAATGGTAGTGTAAAAACACCTTTTTTTACCCTGTCAAAAACAGCTCTTTTCAGATCAAGCCGTTTTTGTAGCATTTTCCTTTAAATGTTAATGAGCTCTGTTGACCTTTTACATAACTATATGGAAAAAATAAAAGTTTCACTAGATGAATTGGACTTTTGACCACTGAATATAAGAGAGAGAACCATTTAGGATAAACTGATTCATACAATGAACTGGACTTTCCAACTCTATATACAGTATGATAGAGAGAACAATTTATGATGAACAGATTCACTATTTCCAACAATACAAGAGAAACAGGACCATTTAGGATGAACTGATTCAAATTGGACATTCCAACACCACATATGAGAGCGAGAACCATTTATGATAAATGGAATCATGAATTGGACGTTTCTATGCTACATCCACAGATACAGAGAGAAGACTTTTTGGCTCTGCGTTTAAGAGACATAGAGCCGTTAAGATGAGTGCATTTGATTAGTCACTAATAAGTAGCATTTGGTCATGATACATGGCTATTTGTTGGAATGTAGCTTGTTACCTACTTAAAAACTGCTTAAAAAGATAGTTCACCTTCAGTTGCTGGTCCCCATTGACTTGCATAGTGTTTTATTTTTTCCATACTATGGAAGTCAATGGGGACCAGCAACTGAAGGTGAACTATCCCTTTATAAAACTCACACTACTGATTTTGTTAAGGTAGCAGCGTTAATTCTGTTTGGCTCTATCTTATACGCTTATGCTTGACAGATGGCTAAGCCTCAGTGAACTTCAGAAACGGAGGTAAAGTTTGCTTTCATTTTCATTCTCAGTTCAATGAGTTTCTTTTTCTTTTCTTTTTTTTCTAAGACTAAAAAATGAATATAAAATTGAAATACTATTTTAACAGTTTTTATCACGTTGGATATCATTTCACTTTAGGTTTGAATGCACTGTTTAAAAAAGACACCCTAATGACATGTTTAGTAACATAATTCATTATTCTACCTTTTACAAAATTATGAGATACAATCCAATCCACTGCACAGAACCATCCCCATTATTAAGGACCTCAGTGAAAACCTTTATACCTATATTTTGTCCAGAAAACATATCTAACCTTTTGCAAAAAAGGCACATCCCACTCAGAGTAAGCTGTAGCATAATGATTTTGTTATTTGTGTTGTCTGTGTATTCAGCGTACAGGAAGAGAAAGAACAACTGAGACTAAGCCATCGAGCGCCACGGTATTGGCCTTCTGTCCTGCGGCTGAACAGCTACTTATCAGGTCACATAAGCCACCCATTGATTCCCATTACTGAATCTTGTTATTGTTGGTTTGTATGGCTCAAGGGAGAGTTAACTGCTTGCCACTTAAAACAGTTGACTTACAGTGTTCCATTTGTGCTCATTGAGGCACGGGTCATTGAAGGGCAACATGCCTTCGTCACAGTTTGGGGAAAACAGATCATTTCACACTCAATTTAAAGCACAATAGAGTGCCATTAATGTTCCTGTAAACCTATGTTTCTATTACCAAAAAATTCATCATTTGCATTTGGGGGTTTGTTTAATGTGCATGCCACTTAATTTTACTTCTGGATGAAGGGAAATTCTGACCACAAGGTCTAGACTCATTCCCAAAAATGTCATAGAAGAAGCTGTAACATGTAGCAGCCCTTATACTGATAGCCAAAGGTCTGGTTTGTTAGACTATGTTTGGTTTACATAAGGCAGGTCTGTGACTTCTTATTTGAAACGTTGCAGGTTTCACTGATACTATATGTGATTTTTTTTTCTTCCAGGCAGATTTGAAAGACAGAGCATGGAAAGATAATGCCTTTACCAGAGTCTATTACACTATACTTCTGCCGGTTTGAACATCCTGTGACCTCTCTGTAAGGCGAGCTTCGCTTCTGACGGCAGAGATGAGTCTGGATCTGGATACCGGTTCTATGCTGTCTGACCTTGGAGGAGAAGAGAGGGTGGAGGCAGAGGTCATCATCATCGTCTGCCCTGGGCCTTCTGAGAGACACGATCACAGGCCTGGCAGCTCCTCTGACAGTACTGAAAAGCCTCTGATTGAAGATGCTCTGGAAGTGAGAGAACCAGAGAGGGAGAGACAGACAGAGAGAGAGAAGGTGGAATATGGTCGGAGGGAATGAAACAAGCAGTCAAACTGTCAAGTGAGTCGTAAAATAGCTCCCTCTTTGCCAAAGGACACTGCTCATCCTTTCCTGACAGCTCTCTTTCTCTTCCACCCCTCCCTTTCTGTTTTACCTCTTTCTTTGCAGTCTCTTTTTGTCTTTTAGCAAATCATCTTTTTAACTCTTTTGTCTTTTTAACTATCATCTTAAACCTTTAAACAACTTTAAACTCATTTACAAACTATAAACACATACAGACATTAATATACTGTATATATAGGGGAGATGAGATCTTGTCATCGTCCAGTGCATATTTCTCAATATCGTTTGTTTTTTTTTGAAAGACAGTTTCTATATAGACACATACCTTAAAGTCTGGGCTGCAAAAAGGTTGAACATTTCTACCGTTATTGCTCAGGGAAATAGATGTTATATATGTTGGCCAATAGCGGTAGATGTTGTCACACTATCTGGGCTAAGTTGTCACAATAAAACCTGGCATTAAACATCCTTTTATAGGCTTTTTAGCTAAATGTAAACATTAAGGCAATTATGAAACATTCATGAAACATCCAAAATTTGAAAGGTAACACACAAAAGATACCAAAGCTTTGCTTTGATCAACAAATATTATAATTAAAAATGGCATTTATGAAAAACACCCTTGGCCTGAAAACACTGTACAACCTTTTAGTTAATATCTGTAGCTCAACAGCTATAGCAAAAATACTATGATATTGAAATTACTGTTTGGAGGGCAGAATTTATAAAGAATATAAAAAAATAAAAAAAATTGTTGGATTTTTTATTACTCCAGATATTTGGATATAGCACTTGTGACAGCTTCCTATCCTCTGTCTCCCCATCATAACCTTTTGACCTAGGAAACTTTCTATGCTGCCTTTCCTCCTCTGGTGCTCTTTCTTTTCCCACACATGGTCTCTGTTAAATCCAAGAGCTCTTCTGTCTCTTCTCACTTACAGAATCAGTGTGACGTGTGAGATCCCAACATGATGCAACAGAAATATGATGAAACATCCCTGTAAATCTCTCACTCATTATTTCCCTTAATCTACCGCATTTTTCAGAACACACATGATAACGTTTGTAATATTGGTAATCTAAAAATAATATTGTATGTACGGACAGAATGTTTTTGTTTTGTTTTTACTTATTGAAATATATTTCACATTATTTTTTTTCTGTAACACAGATATGACTCAAATTTGATAAAGTTGTGATCACACACATCTTACACCAATTATAACACCATTACATGTAAGATCATGCAAATCAAAATCCAATTGGCAATTCTGAACATTGCGTGTGTGTCTGTCAATGTTATTTTAGTATTATTTATACACTATTAGAGTATTTATTACTATTTATATTTTTATTATTTTTTATATTTCTATTTAGCTTTAATTTATTTTTAATTCAGTTTTAGTTTTAGTAAATTTACTACTTTTCAGTTGGTTGCCAAAGCAACATTTCTAATTTGCTTTTAAGTTTAAATTTTAGATCAAATATTTTATTTTATTTTCAGTTACTGATGTCAGTGGCCGGACTTACTATTGGGCTTGACTGGGCTGCAGCCCATGGGTCCTGCCTTGTAGGGGGCCCTGCCTTTGCCCGTTTATGCTTGTTTGATTTGTTCAGTTATGCCAGTCAGAAATGATTAGCCGCATTTCCACTGTGCATGCAAGGGCTAAACGGGCCAGCCGGGGCTAACAGCTTCCAACAATGACCTCCGAGGCCATTATCAAACAGCATAAACTGGTATTTATGATTATTTCACATTGAAGAAGGACACGCGTATTGAATTGCGACTGCAACAATTAATTTGTCATCACATGGCTACTTTAAACAGCTCCATTAAGCCTTTGGCCCAAAAGAGCGCACATTTAGAAAGATAATGATAAATTCTCAAATGTTCAAAACATTTCTTCACAGAGGATGATTGTATATTACATTAATGTTCCACTAAATAATGCATTCTGAAGAGTTTAGAGCGCTCTTCCCTGTCTCACTGCCATCACACATAGTGGGGCAGAAATGTCATCAAAATGATTTAAAAAAATAAAAATAGACATTTGATGAGTTTCTGTTTTTATAACAAATGCCTATGTAGGAGTTAGCCTATCACACAAACACGAGTCCTGTTTTTCCAAATATCTGCACGATCGCAAATGTACAATAAACAAACTGAGTAACTTTCAGACACAAAATTCCATTTTGCTCCATCAAAAAGAAAATGGAAACGATTTTGTTCATAGAGATTTCATTTGATTGTCAATAGCCAACATGTCTTTTTGTTTTTATTTGGACTGAATTTATTAAATTTAAGAATCTGACATAAGAGGACAAATATAGGCTATGACAATACATTTTTATAATACTAATACATCTCTGTCTTTTTTTGCTCAGTGTAATTTCAGGGTTTTGATCTCTCAACTGAGAAAACACATCCTGTTTATTGTATTATAATGAGTCTGACTATTTAATATTTCATCTAAACTTTGACTAGGCTAGACATGTTGCATATTAATTGTACTATATATTAATTTTGTGTTACTCCATAATGATGTTCTAGTTGAGGACATTTGTAGTGTATAGGTATAGGGCCCAAACTTAACCTCAAGCCCTCAAGTCCTGCCCTGCTGATGTCTGTTTACATTTTGGTGTCAAAACAGGCGAAAAATACATGATTTCAAAATCTCATGCAAACATTGTCATAATGAGCTGATTTTCGATTGTTACCATTGTTTACATGTAAACACACTCATATAATCAATGGTTGATGGTAATTTAAAAACTGTAACTTAATTCCTCTGTCAAATATGCTGAAACGCCTTGTGCAGTTCTTAAGTAAGAATAAGTCTTCATTATAAAATAGTGATTCAGCAGAGATACTTTACACAATTCAGCAGATACAGCTAAAATAGCCAGAGGGGGGTATAAAGAGTTTCAATTCAGCTGGGAAACTCTCTCTTCAAAACACCTCATGCAGCATTACTTATTCAGAGCTCTGGTGATACATTGTGCAAGTCAACAGTGCACAGTGTTGGAGGCCTGTTACCAGCTGATTAGATCTGGAGAACAGTTTGAGCTTTCCTCAAATAGTAGGTCCACATAAAGTTTTGGCCAGTGGAAACTTTACCAGTGTGATAGATGTGGGTAAAAGGCAAAGTTCAAAAGAAAACTGATAAAAGATCATAAATAAATAATGGATCAAAAATGTATTATTTTTTTCATGACTTTATTCCCATCGCTGCTCCTTTATTCTTCCAGTTGCAGTTTAGTGCAATTACATCATTCCAAACCTGTATGATGTTAATCTTTCCATAGAACACAATTTTGAAATCACATTTTTAATTCAGTGATGCTGTCTGTTGAGCTTCAAAAATGACAAACACCAGAGTGGTGCATACAACTCCATTCCTGTATATTAAAGTCTTCTGAAGCCATTGGATAGCTCTGAGAAACATACCCAAATTTAAGTCGTAAATCTGAAGTAAAATGTACATGTTTCATGTTGTGGACCAGTCCTTTTAAACTGTCTGAATAAAAAATGAAAACAACAAGCTCAGCTCAAACATCATCCTCTGCCGTCCTTCAACAAACACTTTGCCAAAACCGGGGAAGAAAAAAAATGCGGTCAGTTGTCAGGGAGAACAGAAAATCACCAATGTCAAAATCATCTCTCAGCATCTCAATTTTGATCCAAAACAGAGAATGTCAATCCATCTTTAGAGATTTATTGACATCGCCACTCCTTTGTTCTTTTAACAGGATTTTTTCAATACATGCACTCAAAGGCCTCGGAAAGCAAGTGGCCTCTGAGACTGAGGCACCGTGGGATGAGCTGATTGATGGATGTGGGCATGCAGGGGGAATATAAATGCTGGCCTCTGATTCCTGCCTCCCCAGGGAGACACAGGACTTTCCCTTTTATGACCGAGAGCTTGCAGTGATTCTTCTGCTACCTGGAGAGACTCCTAACTGAGCCTCGCAGATTAAACTGAGGAACAGGACACTCGGCAGACGAGATGTTCTTTGCTATACGCTGGCTGATATAATATATTTTAAAAATTTTCACATTTTCCATCATTTATAACACTTACTTAAATTTCATTTATGTTAAAGATACATATTGATATCTTTATACATTATATTATGATTCCGAGAGAGCCCTCTGCACATGTAATGTGAGTGGTGCTCGTCATTATCTGTCTTTTTTCTCCAAAAAATAGCAGTGATGTTACAGTGTCTAACCTTTGTTACTTTCCGTCAATGCTGGATTTTTTGCTTAGGCTGAAGCTCTCCTGATAATGGCAAACTGTCTCTGTTCAGACAGTTCAGAGAGCTTCTACGGAGCTGTGGGATTATTGTAACTTCACATTTTCTTGGACAATTTAATAAAAGACAGTTTATATCCACCGTCATATTCATGTGAAGGGGATTCATTTCTGAAATGAAATACTGTTGATGTGTAGAGCGGCTTACTCAAGAGGCTGAATGGGGTCTTGAAGTAGTGGTTTCTCAATGAAAATAAACTGCATAACCATTAAAGTTGTTTTTTACAACTGCATGCATGCATGTTTATTTAAAGGTACAATATATAAGCGATCCAAAAGGCTGGCAACAAGCTATACAGTATATTCGGTAGCTCGCGTGCTGTTTGAAGTAACGATGACACCATACTAAGTTAATCTTACAAAACAGTTCAGACTGTAAATTCTGATTGGAATTAATCACATTTGAAATCACAAATTGACTATACTGACCTACAAAGACTAAACACAGTAACTACATATTAGGTCAAAATTGTGATTGAAATTAAGTCTCTCCAAGGTCGTTTACACAGAACTGTGCTGCTTTTCCATTGTTTTTCTATATAACATGCACTAGACAGACATGATTGACAGCTGAGTTGCTGAAAAAGTGCTTAATTTAAAAGTTCAAGTTTTTAAAAAAACGTCTCTAGACCTTGCATTTTTCCATTTTCGTAATTCCATTTTCTTCTGTGGTTCTGAGAACAGCCACTTAAGGCCTGTCCATACCAAGGATAATAACTATAAAAATAACAATACAGATATAGTTTTAAAAATCATTCTAAATTTTGAGTCCACACCACAACCATAACACATCATAACAGCACAGAGGAATAATATTGTTGGAATCAATTTCATAATTAAAAAAAAAAAACACTACCAATAAGAATGTATCCTTCTTTACAGAGCTTGAGCATTTAAAGCAATTTCATTGTTGATGCATTTTTGGCTTTATACTGTAGTCAAGTCACCTTTATTTATATAGCATTTACCAGTAGAGATTGTTTCAAGCAGCTTTACAATAATAAAAGTAACAGAACCAGTAATGCAAACTTCATCAAATATATGACAAATCCAAATTCTTCTGTAAAGACAATAGTGTCATTATTGAGCTCAAGTCAGTTTTAGTTCACTTCAGTAACAGTGCTCATCAGTTGTAAAACAAGTTCAATTTAGCAATAAGTAGCTCAAGCATAAAGTTAGTAGTAGTATGGTACTAATATAGTATATCTGTATTATTTCATGGAAGAGTTATTACTTTTGCCACCATTTTATAAAAGCAATAAGCCACTCAAGACTGTTACCATGGTTTGACCCCATACTATTGGTAAAAACACTGTAACACGTAGTGTCTCTTCATTCATTGCTTAATTTACAACAGCCAAATTACACAGTGATTCACCTACATGTACCCAGTTGCAGTGCAACCAGGGAGCATGAGACGTATGATACCTTCATCATCTCTTTCATTTTGCTTTTTTCTTCTCATTCCCATTTCAGTTTGTTTCTCTGTTTCGTTTAGTATCTCTCCCCCTCACTCGGCTCTCTCATGGAGGTTAGTGAGGGGCCAGTCAATACACTGTCAGAGCTCCATTTAGCAGTGACGTGGTGGGGAGGCCCAGAGATGTGTCTGGCTGACAGAGATGGATGCTTCGGTTCTCCACCGCCTGCAAGGACAAAGGGACACACAGGCAAGCAGGCCGGCAAGGAGGGAAGGTGGTGCAGTCCTGCATTACTGCTCTTTGCAACAGCCATCATCATCTGCGGGGAGTTGAATTGTGGTTATGGGGGGCGGGGATGGGGATGGGGAAGTGTGCCGAAGAAGAGGGACTGGGTTTTTTCTGACACCTCTAGGTTTGTCAGCTGCACACGCATTATTCACTGCTGTAGGGTGAGAACAGGGCAGTCAATTACACTGATATCACCCCGCATGCGGCGAGAGAGATGCACTTGTCAAGAGACGCAGTGCTGAACCGACAGCACATTTGAGCTGCTACTGACTCAATGATCAATAAACGCAGATATGAAGCTGCCAATAAATACTCAGCCATTGCATTTGAAGAATTCGACACAAGGCAATTGTTCATTATGTGCATTATAATGTAAATCAATGGTGGAAAAATGACAGTGGTATTAGTGCTTTTCATCATGTCAAAAAAAAACAGATAGTTGAAAAAGTTTAAAGTGAGAGTCTTGTACTATGTCTTCATCAGAAAGTGATGAATAAATAAAATATTTTTCAGTTTATTAAAGAAATATTCCCAGTTCAGTACAAGTTATGCCCAATCGACAGCATTGGTGGTGAAATGTTGATTATTAAATTACTCTAAAATATTAAAGAAATATAAGTTTTAATTAGGGCTGGGTATCGATTCAGATGTCCCGATTCAATTAGATTTCGATTCGCAAGCTCTCGATTCGATTCGATTCTCGATTTTTTGATTACATTCAGTGAATATAGTTTTAATACAAATGCTATTGATATTTAATGAACAGTAAACATCAGTTTACAAATGGGTCCTTTTTTAAACAATAATAGGGCCCTATAAAATGTTCTTAATTTTTCTGGTAATCAGATGAAGGCATAAAACTTTAATTTAATTTATCCTAAGCAAGTTAAAATTAAACCCTTTTATTTTTTGGCAAACAAAGTGCTGCACTACAGAGGTTTACTGTTCAAATTAAAAAGAAAACAGATGTGATTATTCCTTTAAAAATAAAGATTTATTAATATTTATTAGCAGTAGTAGCATTGATTCTTAAGACTGCTAAATAGTAATATATTCTGACAGTTTCTTAACGTTAAACAACATTTTTATTTTGACGGGTTGCCGTGAAGAATTTGCAGCTGCTGTGTATGTGATATGACGGTAGTTTTCTCAACGGTTTCAGTAGTATAGACACAAGATGTAAAGAATGAGTGTTAGCATGATTTTAATGTGAAACAATAAAATAAAAATTCTGTCTAAAAATATATCCAATTTTACAACTGTATTGCCATGACAACACCATTACCTCCCGAACAACTCTAAATATGATGACTAGACGGCAGAAGCTGAAAACACCGCGAGCGTCATCCGCGCTTTAGTATGTGTAAACAAAACCGCCATTCATTCATTGCGGAAATCATGGTGCCTATGCGTGATATCAAATTCTTCCACAGATTTATAGTATCGCTATAGCATTGCGAATCACGCGTATCTATAAAGCTCAAATAATACACTAGATTTACCAGTTTTTTTTTTTTTTGTGGTAATCTAAAATATAGATTTATATTTGGCCCCATTTACTTCCATTGTAAGTGCTCTACCGGAACCTTTTTTTAGTTGGCGGTGGTAA